TCTATTTAAGATTTCCCATATTTGAAATTCTTTCACTAGGATTTAGAACCTTTTTCGACTCGTGCTATAAAATGCCAAATCACTTTCCAAGAGACTTGTCTCAAATTTTACTGCCACTAATGCTTTCTTTAAGGAGCTCTGGTAGCGTAGTGGTTACGAATCGGGCTGCGAACCATAAGGTCAGCAGTTCGAAACTACCAGCTGCTCCGCGGGAGAAAGATGAGGCTTTCTACTCCCGTTAAGATTTACACCCTCGGAAACCCTGTACAGGGTCGCTATGGGTCGGAACCGACTCGAAGGCACTTAACAACAACAACAATGCTTTCTTTAAACAAAGGAGCTCTGGTAGCGTAATGGTTATGAATCGGACTGCGAACCACAAGGTCAGCAGTTCGAAACTACCAGCTGTTCCACGGGAGAAGATGCGGTTTTCTGCTCCCATAACGATTTACAGCCTCGGAAACCCTGTTCACTGTCGCTATGGGTCGGAACCGATTCGAGGGCACTTAACAACATCAACAGTACTTTAAACTGGTGTCCTGGTGTGGCACTGTGGGATCAGCACTGGACTGTTAACTGCAAGGTTGGTGGTTCAAACCCACCAGCTGCTCCTTGGAAACCCTGTACAGGGTATCTAAGAGCCAGAACTGACTTGACAGCATTAACAGCAATATATAAATCAGGAGTCGTGGTGTGATATAAATCAGGAGTCGTGGTGTGGTACTTTAGGATCAGCACTGAACTGCAAACTGCAAGGTTGGTGGTTCAAAGCCACCAGCTGCTCCTTGAAAACCCTCTACAAGGTCACTGTGAGTAGGAATCAACTTAGCGGCACTTCCTAACCACAACGTGTGAAGCTCGGGGGTAATTCTGCTCTGCCCTAGAGGGTCACCATGGGTTGGAATGGACTCAGCCGTTGGGAATATTTTTAAAGGGTTGCTGAGTAGATGTGTTTGTGTCTTCCATTGTTGCTTGTGTAACTAGTTAAAGAATGATGCTTGTGGGGACAGCTGTATTTTTCTTTACTCATGAAGTTGATTTATTTTTTTTTTTTTACTTTGTTTTATGATTTGATTGTTTGAATTCTTTGCCAAATAATCTAGTAATCTAGTTGGTGTTTTCCATATTGATTTGTAAAGCGCTTAATATACTGACAGTTCAGCCTTTTATCTATTACGTTTACTACAGGCTTTCTTCTCTTTAATGTGGCTATATGTGTTTTTTGTTGTTTTTTTTTAAATTTAAGGTTTTTATTGTGGATTGAGTGAAAGTTTACAGGGCACATAATCAGTTTCACATTCAACAATTCATATAACTTGTTTCATTACATTGATTATAATCCCCTCCATATACCATCAGTTAAAAGTATTTCTCTTTATC